CCTTTTGTAAAGATTTTTGTATCACTAATTTTTTGACCTTAAACTTCATATTTATGCTTATATATATTTGAAGGTCAATGGGAGGAATTATTTTCTTTAATTTCCTTTTCGGTGACTATGTTGGATAAATTTTCTTTAATCTAAGTATAGATCATTGAGTGGTATTAAGGGAACTTATGCCTTCTTTTTTTTTAGACTATTTGTTTTATGCTAACATTTGGTATTTCTAATCTCTTGAGAGATAATTAGAAGTGATGAGCTGGCTGAATCAAATGCCTTATTTTTTAATAAGTTTTAGTATATGTTGTAAATGGCTGATGGGGTTGTCTCGCATAAATTCTTAAAGTATTACATATATTTTATGTCCTCATTAGTATGGTCAAGAATTATGATTACGGTTGAATGCATGCTACAGTGGCTGTTATGGTCGATTCATTAATCAAAGTGTTAAACTTGTTAATTTCTATATACATGTGATAACAAGTGTTTCGAGTTTTTGATGCACTTGGTTAGTGGGAGTTTTTCTCTTTCTAGTTATCTCTTTACGGTCCTAGGATTCCCAATTCTCACATGTTTCTTTGATTGAATGACTTGTTGTTCTTGGTAATCAGAAAGTGTTGATTTGTTTACTATCAAACTAATCAACACTTTCTTGATATGTCTTTTTATCTTGGTGGTTAGTTTTGATTTGTTTATTATTATGAAATGATCTTGTTGTTGAGTTCAAATGATTGATTGTGGTGGAGTCTATCCTGTTAGGATCATTTTGTGATGAATAAGTTTCATTTTGTGGCTATTTTTTTTTTTTTTTTCAATTTGGGCAAATTTAAATTCAGGTTTGAATGAGTACAGTAGATCGAATTCAAGCTTCATCCCCAGCTCAAACTCATGAGCTAACGTGGGTAATTTTTAAAATGTGGGGCATTGAATGTAAATTAATAAATAAAATAATTTAAAACACGTTTGGCTGATTGTTACGAGGTAGGATTTGAAAATTAATAAAAACACCACTAAGTTTTTTAATTTAGTTAAACAACCAACAATAAAAAGTTTATAAATTGACAAAAATGCCCTCGCCAACCCAAATTTGCCAGTTTCGGCCACCACCGTCGGAAGGTGGCCAAAATCTGGCGTAATGGAGCATAACCGATTGGATCTAGCCGATCGTGCATCGATATGGCCTTTCCTGGCTAGATCCATCATGGATCTAGTCGGAAAAGGCTAGATCTAACCACATATGGCCGTCAACGCCAAAGATATGACCATCATTAATGGTCAACAAGGACCATATCTTGGTCGTCGTTGACAATCAGATGTGGCCAAAGATCTAACCGTCAATGACCAGATTTTTAGTCGTTGATTTGGCATTTTCTGGCCCGATTCATCAAATTAGCGCACTACCGACCAAAGACAGCTGGTAGTGCGCCATTATACTAGATTCCTGCCACCTTCTGGTGGTGGTGACTGGAATCTAGTAAATGTAGGTGGGTGGGGGTGTTTTTGTTAATTTATAAATTTCTTTTGTTGGGGTGTTTAGTTAAATTAACAAACCTACGAAGGTTTAAAAGTAGTTGAATATAATAGAATTAAATTTTGAGAATAGGGGAACAAATATGTAGGATAGGAATAGGATAGTAAAACTTAAATTATTCTTATTTTTATTTCGATAGGAAATTTAATTTTAAATTTTGCATAATTCAATATTGTTGTGTGGTCAATCCAGAGAGGATAATTCCTTATTAGGAGAGAAAATATTTAGATTGGATCAATTTGGATGGAAGATATGCAGATTGACTTAAATTCCAACTAAGGTAGTTGAAGATCATGCAACTTTATAATCCTACGTATTTGAATCTTATCTCAAATCTATCATGTAAATGGATGCTATATAAACCCATCATAACTTGTTTTCAAGGGGGGCTGCGAAATTATTCTAAGAAAATCTTCCTAGGAATTATACTATTATTTGTAAGCTCTCAAAAGCAATAAGATAACAGTAGACGTAGACTCAAGTTTTAACTTCTCGAACCACTTTAAAAATTGTCTTGTGTTCTTATTTATGACTCTTTCTTTTTTATTCATTGCTGATTTTCACTAAATCACGCACATATCCATTCTGGTTCTGGCAGAGCCAATTAGAATTCTCTAGTTGGTACAGATTTCTGTATCAAGATTTTGGCGCTAGAAGGAGGGCCTGATTCACAGCAGCTCTCCATGTTTTTCCAGCAAGTTTCAACTTCTTCAGCAAATCCCAGCTTCTTAATCTAGAATCACGTTATCAAATGTGAAAATCTGAGCAGGATAAACTCTGAATCTGGCTAAGCAATAAACACAATAATTGTAACCCTTTGAGTTAGCTTTTCGACGGTCCAAGTATCATCCAAATCTGAGTCTACAGCTCAAGTTATTGTCAAAATACTAAAGTTTGTTCCAAATAAAAGATCTCAAATCGCGTGGCCAGATCGCTCAGATTGCGTGCTTAGATCACTCTGATCTTCAACTTCAGATTGTATGGCCAGATCACTCAGATCACGTGCTCAAATCTCTAAGATTAGAAAGAGCTTGCTAGCTCTCTAGCTCTGAAGCTTACAAGCTCTTCAAGCTTTCTGATTGAGCAATGCTCTCAGATCAAGCTCTCCATACTTTTTGATCGAGCTATGCTCTTAGATCAAGCTCTCCGCTCTTTCTAATCAAAGTCCTCGCACTCTCAAATAGAGCTCCTTATGCTCTCTGATCGAGCTCCCTATGCTCTTAGATCAAACTCTTTATGCTATTTGATTACTCTCATAAGCTTGCTCATTAGCTTGAGATCACGTGTTCAACATCTCTCAGATATCTTCGATCGCGGCAAGCATAATTCAAGTTCTTCAGTTCGAGACTGCAACCTATAGTGCGACAACCATCCAGATCAAAGACATGAGTTTTTGAAGCGCGATTATGCCCTCCAAAAACTGGGGGGTTATTGTTGTGAAGTCAATCCGAAGAGGATAATTCCCTATTGGGAGAGAAGATATTTAGATTGGCTCAATTTGGAAGGAAGATATTCAGATTGACTTAAATTCAACTAAGGTAGCCGAAGATCATGCAACTTCATAATCCTACGTATTTGAATTTTATCTCAACTCTATCATGTAAATTGGTGTTATAACCCATCATAACTTGTTTTCAAGGGGGGCTGGGAAATTATTCTAAGAAAATCTTCCTATGAATTATACTATTCTTTGTAAGCTCTCAAAAGCAATAAGATAACAGTGGATGTAGGCTCAAGTTCTAACTTGCCGAACCACTTTAAAAATTGTCTTGTGTTCTTATTTAAGACTCTTTCTTTTTTGTTCATTGCTGATTTTTATTAAATCACGTGCACATCCATTTCGGTTCTGGCAAGGTCAATCGGAATTCTCTGGTTGGTGTAGATTTCTGTATCAACAAATCTAATACTTGAGTTTTTTTTATATAGGAGGAAAAAAAAAAAAAAAGACTAGTCTCCCAAAATGTAAAATAATAAAGAATTTGAAAAGAATAAATTTGAAAACCATCCCACAAATATCATTCCTAATAGTTTTAAATATGAAGCTGATAATCCAATTAAGGAATTAAATATAAAGATGACCACGTATTAGGGATTACAATATGAAGATAATCATTTAATAGTTAAGGTGCTAAAATGAATTATAAAATTATATTTAAATGTTGGGTTGCCCTACTAAAGTAAAAATCATAGTTTACCTTATATAACTTTTACAATTAGCAATGTTTTCAAACCTGGCCCGGCCCTGCCAGTCGAACCGGTTCAACTGGGACCCGACCAATGAGTCGAGCCGGTTGAGGCTAAAAACCGACATTTTACAATTGCCTACTTGCACACGCGATTGGATCGGTGCACTGTGGCAACCCGCTGGTCCAACCGTTTTTTTTTTTCCAAAAAACCGGGTGTCAAATAAAATAAACCCTATATCCCTTAAACCCAAATTTCAACGTTCCCCCCCCCCCCCCCCCTTCCCTTCTCCCCTATTTTTACACCATTTCCCTGCACTTTTGGTCTGAAAATCTTCCACCGTGACTCCCCTTCACCATCGATTTCCTCTCTTCACCGTGAAGGCATGAACTTCCTCCTCTTCGTCATCAGTTGGTACCGAGACTCTCCTCCTCCTATTTTGTGATCTCCTCTCTTCACTCTTCATTGCCGATCTCGTCTGTTCACCGTCGATCTCTTCCTTTTCGTCGTCAGTTGTAGCTTATCTTGCTCAGGAACCATCGTCTCTTCCTTCCATTTGCGCGATCTCGTCTCTTCACCATCGAGCTCCACCTTTCCAACGTCAACGACAGCTCATCTTCACCAAGTAATGTCGTCACTCGTCAGTGCTTCCTTTGTTCTCTACTCCCTATTTTCTTTAATTCACTTTGCCATTTCTTTTGATAAATTGCAATTTTCCGGCGAGTTGTAAACTTTTAAAGCATCTGCTTCTAGCTCCTAGCTCCTGGCTTGGTCATTCAGATTTCTGGAATTCTGGACTTTGTGAACAATAACTTTGCTGATGTCAACATGATGTTGTCACTGATTGAACCGGTTCAACTGTTCGACTAGGACTCGGCCAACTTGCCAAGTTTTGCCTTGATTGGTTTTTAAAACATTGATAATTAGTAGATGGATGATATCGAAATCAGTAAAGTACATGAATGTATAAATAAAATCTCCAAATATAATTTACAAAATAAATTTTGTTTATCATTTGAAATAATGTCCATCATATTTTTAAGAGTAATGCTACAGCCACCGACGGTAGTGCACCGAATTTGTGCATCGAATGACGTGACAAAATCCTGACCGTTGATTGATATTAAGTTAAAACTGATCAACGGTCAGGATTTTATTACGTTATTCGGTACACAAATTTGATGTACTACCGTCGGTGGCTATATCATTTTCCTATCTTTAATATGTTTTTAAGAGAAATTAAAATGTCTCAATTATTTAATAAAGCAATCCAAACACCCCATCTTGACCAGGAGATCCCCAGAATTCTGAATGTATTTAACTAACAAACTCGGTGGCAGAGCGACCAACCCGAGTCAGAAACAGTGAACTCATCCGAGTTCTCTTCTTACCTGAACAAGCCGCTGAAAGTCATAAGCGGCCCCAATTTTGAAACCTAAGAATGAGTGACCAACCAAAATTGCAAGAACACCAAAATTCGCTAAAACCAATGGAAAAATATTATCTTACCAACTGCGGAATATGCTTATTGGAGGAAGGGAGATCAATCAGAGGCCAAATAGATTGCTGCGACCACTACTTTTGCTTCGTGTGTATCATGGAGTGGGCCAAGATCGAATCTACATGCCCCTTGTGCAAGCGCCGCTTCACCAACATTCTACAAACGCAAAAGGAGGGTCTTGTTCCGTGCGAGCGAATCGTAAATGTTCCAAAACGCGACCAGGTACAAGTTTCTTTTCTCTTTATTGATCTTACCGTGTTATTTAGTTTTTAAGTTTGCCGCCGTGTGGAGTTAATTCGGTTGAATTGTAGTAAGGTTTTGGTGAATCCCGTACCGTTCAATATTCATTATCAAATTGACAATGGTAATTTTAATATGAAGTAATTTTGGTTTTATGATGATTTAGTGCTTCTGGATTTTAATTGCAGTAACTTTGTTCTTAGTTTATTAGTTTGCTGCAAAATTGAGCTTTTTATGCTAGTTATATTTTTAGCTTATAACCTAGTATACTGCAGGCTCAACAATTATTGTTAGATGTCCCTATATACACTTATTAGACTAATCTAGTTGTGTGTTAATTTTGGAGACTTCTGCGAAAAACAATTTCGAGGTCTAATCGTAGTAAACTTAGACACCTACTTTACACCTACTTGAAAGAGTGTTGCAGTTTCTCCTTTTATTGAACAAAAATGAGTTGGTTTATGAAATAATTACTATAATAGTGCTTAAAATCAGCGAAATTTGGTTTGTATTTGTAAACTGCTGTACCTGGAAAAGAATTCAGTTTGTATATCATATCAATTTTGGCTTTAATTAATCCAAAATTGACATTAAAAGTATTTTGCTTTTTCCTCAGATGCCAAATATATTTGTGTCTGTAAGTACTGTATTTTTAAACATATTTATGGATGTATGTTAGTTTTGCAGGTTTACCATCATTTTGGAAATGCAACAGTTGGGCCTTTTGATTCTTATGCTCATGTGAAGTGTAGTGTGTGCCAGGGCACCAATGATGATAGTCTATTACTACTTTGTGATCTTTGTGATCTCGCTGCTCATACTTACTGTGTTGGCCTGGGTGCTACTGTACCTGATGGTGATTGGTTTTGCCATGATTGTGCTATTTTGAGGGCCGAGCATAACAATGCTGAAATAGATACTGATGCTGACAATAAAACTCTTTCCATCTTTGATGTCATACACGAAGATACAGATGAAATGAGAATTTGGAAGCCTCATCTGATGGCCTCTTTAGCACTTGTTGTTAACTCCGGAGCAGGTATCAATGTTGCAAATGAAGTAACTTTGTTAGATAGAGGAACTTATCAGAATAATGCAGATCAACCACCCAAATTGGATGTGCGAACGCTGCATCTTTCTCAGGATGTCCAAAGTCATATACAAGCACTACGTGAAAACTGGAATGCATTGCGAAATGGATCCTTAAGCTTTGCTTCTAGTTTGGGTCAACCACATTCCTCGACCTCCCAAGGTTGTCAGCTACTGAGAGCTCGGGATGGTTTGTCTCAGGGCATTGAACATAACAATTACGGAAGTTCACATGATATAGATAAAGCATGGAAAAAGATGAAAATTGCCAAGTCAAAGCAGCAGAATTGTGGAAGGGCAAGCAGTGTTCATCTTGCCTCAAAGTCAAAACATCCTTCTGTAAAGGGAAAAGCTCCCGAGCAAGCCACTAGTACCAGTTCAAGTCTTCATATAGTTAATAGAAAACAACCTGGAGATAGTGTTCTCAGCATATCTGCCTTTGAAAAGAAGAGGAGGTATAATTCTCCTGAAAGCAAACCTGCAAACCATAGATTTCCAAAGTCAGAAAGTCAAAAGCCAAATCAGTTTATGACTCTTAAACCGTGTGAGGGGCGTTCGACTACTCAGTCAATACGATTATCTGAATCTTCTTCATCTAGGAAGGCCGAAACTCAATGTGACCTTCGTCATGCCAATAGGGCAAGTTTGTCGGCAAAATGTTCACATGAAGCTTCATCAAGTGCTAGTCACGAGCAAGCTGGTTCTTCTTATTCAATAAATTTGATTGGGTCACTGCCTACAACATATGATTCATGTAACAGGAAACCAGATCTCCATACATTTTCCTTCGGTGAAGTAGATAACCTCAAGGGAAAAGGTCGGTTGGGGAAGGATTGTGCTAGAAGGAAGGAAATAAAAGATGATGATGCCAAGAACGAGATCCGTTCTCTTGTCAAGCTCAACTTAAAGCTTCTAAGCAGAGACAGACAATTAGGTATAATTGCTAGATTTATAGATGTCTTTCTAGGATTGAAGTTGTGGTTTGATTCTGGATATCAATCATGGTATCTACGGATAATTTAAAAGTTTTCTAAATGTCATATGATAAAGTTTGGGAAAGAGAAGACGTTTTGAAACTTGTATACAAAGCTTTTTTTTTTTTTTCTTCTACTCTCAATTTTAGGTTCCGGTTGCTTCAGAAAATTATCCATTAGGGCTTTTTACCTGTTAACCCTTGTGTCGGTGGTATCTGAAATATTCTCAGGCACACTGAACAACTGCCACTTCTAAATTGAATAAAGTTGTTTTACTTGATTATGTCGTCTTCAGGATTTGATGTATTCAAGGAAGTTGCTAGGCGTGCCACACATACCATATTGGCAGCATGTGGTTTGGAGCACCCAAGGTCTAATATTCGTATATTTCCAAGCTCAGTAGTTCGCAGCCATAGTGAACATATTCAGCAGCTCCATAAGTCCACCCTGATGCCAAATTCTTGCCGAGAATGCTTTTATATCTTCGTAAAGGATGTTGTCAAAGCCATTATGTTTGAGAAATGTGGTCGCGGCAAATCATGCTAATGTCTCTTATTCAGGTAAATTCTGCTGCGCAACTTCATAAGGGGAAAATTTAGTTCCTTTTCCCCCTCTATATTGCCAAACAAATAGGTTTACTTGTATAGATTGATTCATTAGCATCTGTAAAAAAAAAAATTCTTACATCAGCACGAATAAAATATTTCGCATCATACATATTTATAAATCTGTACAACGTTTATAAATAAATGAAAATGAGAGAGCAGCATGTACATATGCAGCAAATATTCATAGGTTTTTTTCATTCTTGGTGCTTCTTAACAACATAGATATAAATGCTACAAACATCTTTTGTCAACAGATTCAATTACAAACTGTTCTAGCTTTGTTTAGTTAGAACTTTTGGACTTTGAAGTTCATTTAAACTCCTCACAAACTCATCCAAATATTTATCAGAACTCCCTCCTTGGGCCACCCCACCCAGCACTGCATCTCTTAACTCCTTTGCTTTCACTCTCTGTGGTCTGCGGTCATCTAGTGACTCAATCAACAATCGAGCCAACTCCGTTGACTCCGGAATGTTATGAATCGCCTCGCCAACTCGGATTCCCACCCCTAATTGTTCAACAAGTAATTTAGCATTTACAAACTGCTCCGCACCCATCGGCCATGTCAGCATCACAACACCAGCGGCAACTCCTTCTAACGTGGAGTTCCACCCGCAGTGAGTCAAGAACACGCCCACCGCTCGATGCCGTAGTATCTCCACCTGTGGAGCCCATCCCTTGATAATGTATCCCCTCCCAGCCACACGATCTTCGTACCCTTTGGGGATGATACCGTAATCACCTGCCACGTGTCTTTCATTTGGTTGCTTCACGCCCCATATAAAATTAACCTGACTCTTTTCCACGGCAGTAGCTAACTCTTCCATCTGCTTCCTCGACAGCATTGCATGACTACCGAAGCAAATGTAAACAACAGATTCATCCTTCCTAGCGTCGAGCCATGTCATCACCTCGTGACATGCCACAGAGCTGGACCCCCCACGGTTGGTGGTTGTCCCACCGGCCAAGTCATCGCCTTTAGGCAAAAGAGGGCCCACTGCCCAAAGACGATCGTGACCCACTTGGGTTTTGATGTGTTCAATGTAAACTTGTTCCAAATGGGCGGATGTGTTGAAAACGATTCCCCAGCTTGCAATATCACCAAGCGCAACGTCTTTAACAAATTCCCAAACTGGTTCTCCTGGCTTACTCGTCCTGTAAAGAGTGGGGACTTGATACCAAGGAAGGTGAGGACAATTCGGTAAATTCGGAAAATGGACCAATGAGTTATCGTTATGAGGATCATCTCTTTTGGGTTGATCCCGCCATAAAGTGAAGAAAATGGACAATCCAAAGGCGCCTGTACACGAGAACACAACACGAGCAACGCCAACCTCAGAAGCTAATTGGTGAGTCCACCCGAGAAAAAAATCAGAGATAATGGCAACCGGAGGTGATGGGTGGGATCGGAACCATTGAAGAAGAAGAGGATAGTGAAGATCACGCAAGCTCATCATGTTAAAAACAAAGCCTGGCCTTGTTGGGGATTCTGGAGAGGGGAAGATGAGGGATTGAAGAGAAGAGGAGTAGCGGGAGGAGAGGAGTGGATCGAGTAAAGAGACGGTGTTAGGTGTGAGCAAGACGGTGACGTTTAAGCCGCGAGAGAGAAGGCGATGGGTGAGATCGAGGAGGGGAATGATGTGACCTGAAGCTGGGTATGGGTAAACGAGAATGTGAGGTTTGGAGGGAGACATGGCTGATGGCTTAGGAATGGCAGGTATGCCAGGTACTGTAGAAAATTGAGTGAATTGTTATATCTTCTTCTTTGCATTTAATTAATTTATGAGTGAGTAAGAAAATGTTTAGTTGGTTTAGAAACTGAAGGACTCATTATATCTTCAATTAATTTATATATGATGCTCTGTCACGCATGACGCCACTTCCCTTGTTACTATCTTCTGTAACAAACTCCTAAATAAAGAGAAACTCTATTTTTTATAGTCCAACACAGAACAGAAGGAATCAATAGGAGAAACATAAATTTGATACACTTGTTATCCATGTCTCAAGGCTTTATCTCAAGTAAACAGTCAACAAATGCATCCAAATCTTTGTCGGAACATCCTCCTTTTTCCACCCCACCCACCACAGCATCTCTTAACTCTTACGCTTTCACTCTCTCTGCTCTTGTTTCATCTAGTGACTCAATCAACAACTGAGCCAACTCTGTTGACTCGGGAATATTACGAGTCCCTTCACCAGCTCTCATCCCCACGCCTAATTATTCAACAAGCAATCGAGCATTTAGAAACTGCTCCGCCCGCATGGGCCACGTCAGCATCAGTACACCGCCGGCAATTCCTTCCAACGTGGAGTTCCACCCGCAGTGAGTCAAGAACACGCCCACAGCCCTATGCCTCAGTATCTCCACCTGGGGAGCCCATCCCTTGATGATGTAACCCCTCCCAGCCACACGATCTTCGAACCCTTCAGGAATGTCGCCGCAATCTCTTGCCACGTGTTTTTCATTCTGTAACTTCACACACCATATAAAGTTTACCCCGCTTTTCTCCAGCCCCGCGGCTAACTCATTCGTTTGCTTCTTCGTCAACATGCCACGGCTCCCGAAGCATACGTAAACAACGGATCCGTCCTCGGGAGCACCGAGCCACGTCATCAGATCGCCGGCCGTATCATCGTCTTTAGGCAACATAAGAGGCCCCACTGCCCAAACACGATTATGACCTACTTGGTTCTTCAAGTGTTCAATGTAAATTCCATCCAAATGGGTGGATGTGTTCAGAATTATTCCCCAACTTGCCATGTCAGCAAGTGAAACGTTTCTGATGAATTTCCAACCTGGTTCTCCAGGCCTCGTCGTTCTGTAAATTTCAGGGATTTCATACCCACTAAGGGAAGAACAAAGCGGCAACTTGGGAAATTGAAGTAAAGAATTTGAGTTATTGGGATCGTCTATTTTGGGTTGGTCCTTCCATAAAGTAAAGAAGGTGGACAGGCCAAATGCACCTGTGGGCGAGAAGACGATATGTGCAACGCCAACCTCCGAAGCTAATTGGTGAGTCCAGCCAAGCAAGAAATCAGAGATAATGGCAACGGGAGGAGATTGGTGAGATTGAAACCATTGAAAAAGAAGAGGATAGTGAAGATCACGGAGCTCTTGCATGATGTTGACAATTGGGTTGGAGTTAATGGTGTTTTTTAAGGGATTTGGAGAGGTTTGTGGACAGGGGAGGAGCAGTGGTTGGAGAGAGCAGAGGAGAGGAGTGGGTGGAGTAAATAAAAATTATTGTGGGTGACCAATACGGTGACGGCTAGGCCGGCGGTGAGTAAGCGGCGGGTGAGGTGGAGGGTTGGGATGATGTGGCCTGAGGTCGGAAATGGATAAACCAGAATGTGATGTTTGGTGTTGGAGGTATAAGACACGGCTTGTCAGTGCCGGTTTGGTGGTTTCTATGCAAATTGCAACGCTGAAAAAAGTAAAGTGTTTCTTCTCTTTGTAATTTGCGGCTTGGAATTATATCATGTTTCCATCATGTTACCTTTATATATAATTTACAAAATTGTAAATATATATTGTCGGTAACCATTATCTTATTTTTAAAACTTTTTATATTAAACACATTTATGATTATTAAAATTTTATATGTATTTAAAATTTTCTCATATATATAAAGAACTATAGTCAATAAACATTAAAAACAAATTTTTAGCCTTTTTAATAAAATAATTGTATTATTATTATGTTTTCTTCAAGAACAACTTTTATATCTGTCAAAAATATAAGTTAGAAACAAATTGTACAACACATAAAGGTAAATTATTTCGTTTATGTGCTTCATCTGAAATACCATCATGCCATGCAAAAACATGTAAGGTTTTTTTAGGCTTTTAGCAACATTCTAATATTCTTTTTTCGATAATTAATGCTGCCAGTAGAGACCAAAAATTAATGCTACAGAATACACCTCATTTCACATTTGCTTTAATTTTTTTTTTTTTTTAATAGTACCAGAGTTTATTTAATTTGCCTTTTCGTTGCGAGTGGGTATGGATCTGACTTCTGAGCCCGGGCCAATAATCTGAATCTTAGCCCATTATAAAGAGCCAGTTTTCCCATTTAAATGCTCTTTTATCGTGTTTTTGCCATAGCCGTTCGTTCAAGCTCATTCAACTGTTTAACAAATTCATCCATTTCTTTATCCGAACTTCCTCCTTTCGCCACCGCCTTCAATACCGCCTCTCTCACCTCTTTTGCCTTAATCCTCTCTGCTCTAGCTCCATTCACCGACTCAGACAATACCCGAGCCAACTCAGGTGGCTCGGGTACATTCTGAGTTCCCTCACCGACTCGGATCCCCACTCCTAATTGTTCGACCAATACCCGCGCATTCATGAACTGCTCCGCCCCCATCGGCCACGTCAGCATCACCACACCCGCCGCAGTTCCTTCCAACGTGGAGTTCCACCCGCAATGAGTTAAAAACGCGCCCACTGATCGGTGTCCTAATATCTCTACCTGTGGAGCCCATCCCTTGATGATGTAACCCCTCCCAGCCGTACGATCTTCGAACCCGTTGGGGATGGTACCATAATCGTGTGACACGTGTCTCTCGTCTGGTTTCTTCACGCACCAGATAAAATGGACTCCGCTTTTCTCCAACGCGGAAGCCAGCGTATCCATTTGCTTACTTGTCAGCACGCCTCGACTCCCGAAGCACACATAGACAACGGAACCATCCTCACGTGCGTCAAGCCACGTCATCAAATCGTGACATGGCACGGAGCTGGATCCACCACGGCTGGCCATATCACCATCTTGGGGCAGAACGGGTCCCACTGCCCAAACACGATCGTGACCGACTTGTTTCTTGATGTTTTCAATGTAAACTCGTTCCAACCCAGTGGAGGTGTTTAAAACGATTCCCCAACTCGCCATATTACCCAACCAAACGTTCTTGCGAAATTCCCAAATTGCTTCTCCTTCTTTGGTCCTTGTATATAGAGGAGGGAGTTGATACCAAGGGAAAACTGGACAATTTGGTAAATTCGGAAATGTTACTAACGACTTTTCGTTATCAGGTTCTTCTATTTTGGGTTGCTCCCGCCATAAAGTGAAGAACATGGACAAGCCGAAGGCGCCGGAAGGCGAGAACAGGACGCTTGGTACGCCAACCTCGGAAGCTAATTGGTGAGTCCACCCGAGAAAGAAATCGAAAACCATGACAGCAGGAAGGGATTGTTGTGATCGGAACCATTGAAGGAGAAGAGGATAGTGAAGGTCATGCAGCTGGGTGGTGTTAAGGTTGAACCTTCCGTTTGTTGTGGGAGTTTCTGGAGAAGGGAAGATTAGAGGTTGAAGAGATTGGTGACAGGAGAGGAGTGGGTCGAGTAAAGAGAGGTTGTTGGGGGTGATCAATACAGTGACGGATAGGCCGCGGGTGAGTAAGCGGTGAGTGAGGTCGAGGAGGGGGATTATGTGGCCTGAGGTTGGAAATGGGTAAACGAGAATGTGTGGTTTGGTGGTCGCCATGGATATAGCTTGGATTGGATAGCGACAAGCTCAGCTTGTAGTAATGACAATGAAACTGAGAAAAGTGTTTGGTTGGTGAGGGAGATTTATGGGACTTGAGTTTGCATGTGTTTCCCAGTACGTTTTTATAGGCTTCGTGCAAGATAAGATTGGTGGAAGCTCAGTTGAGATAGAATCAGTTTCTTCTCTTTGGACTCACACTACGTCAGGCCTGACGCCAGTAAAAATAAAAAATACGCTAATCTCTTTTAAAGTAATCCTTGTATAATAGATAACATTAATGCAAGTTGTTAAGTCGCTTTCATATAGTCTTTGTTTTTTTTGTCTTTTCTTATATTTTAAGAATAAAACGAAACAATGTTTGAATTACTTGTCGAAAAACATTAAATTTAGAATGCTTTTCAAATTTAAGGCTAAAACAGCTCAATGCAAAACACAAAGAAAAGAACTTGAATGTAATTTTTTTATTTGATTACTGAACCTTTGATCCCAAGATTTACACCTTTAGGCTACAGTTAACTATTGATTCCTCTTCCAGGAAATATGATTCTACAAAGAAAGCCTACAAATCCTTACTTTTGGAACAACTAGTACTACATTTTATTCTTCACTCGTTTTTTTTACTTAACACAAAAGCTTAAACTAATTTCAGAACTTGCATGAAGTTCCAAGCCTCTGTCTCTGTCTCCACCCGATAGTTGTGCACCTTCTTTGGGTGAAGGCAGGGTGAAGAAGCTCCTTAAACTTTTCAAGAAACACATTCCATTCTTCTTCCTTCATATCAGCAAGCTTCACAAAACTTTTGGTACTGGATAGCCGGTCATTTGCGCTACTTACGCTCTCAGATAAGGAACCCATCAGTTGATTTTCTTCTACTTTTGCATCAAGGTGAGGCGGGCTTCTCTCACGGATGTTAACTTTGTTCACAGGCTGGGACAACTTGGGGGCTATTTGAAGCCAGTTCCATTGTGTGATTCCTTTTGCCTCAACTGGTTTTTCATCCACCAGAACTTCTTCTTCTTCAAGATTCTCTAGTTTAGATGTAAAGTCTCCATTCTCAAACTCTGCATCTTCACAATCTAGATCAAACAGACACTCTTCCTCTCTTCCATCATCACCAGAGAATGATAATTCCCCCTCAGCCATGATCCTCCGAGCCTCAAGGCATACAACCTCGAGCTCACTTGGTTCCTCCTCTTCAGAACTAAATTCTCTACTCATCATCTCACCAATCTCAGAAAGGCAGAGTCCAAAAGCAGCTGCTTCCTGAAGGAATACAGTGCAGACTACCAAAACCCGGAGACATCCCTCCCGAATCATGGGCAGTTCCTTTCGTAGCATCTCAGAATCGTGAAGAGGATCTAATTTTTTTATATACTCAAGCTCATCCTCAGAGAAAGGAATTGAAGCCTGAGGCCAATGAATCCACTCGAAGTATGGGTCTTCCAAGCTCTCTGGCAGGCAAAGGCCATGATCAATTGGAATGAGCTCCACTTTTCCAAATCTCCCAACACCGTCAAGTTTCCTCACTAAAAGGTTTCCACCATGCCTATCAGTGTTAAAGATTCTTATATCCAATATCCCTATTCTATGTATTGCACCAACAGGAAAGCTTGAGGTTCCATAGTCACCAGCATCAAAGTCATGAGGCATGAACTGCTGAAGAGATGCAATCTTGCTAACTTTCTCCCTCTTCTGAAGCTTATTTCCCATTACACCATCATTAAGATTAAAAATAGAGTGTGTAACTTTCACAAGAACAGTTGCAGGCACATTAGCAAAGTGATTGTAGTCCAAAAGGTAGGCAGCTACTTCTCGAAATCCTGTTTCACCAACTCTCACTGATCCTTTCAGGCCTGGCTGCCCAAGAGCTTTCCCTACAAAGCCTTTTGGATTATTTGGTGCAAAAGGTTCCTCATCAGTTGGCTTAACAATAGCAAGATTGTCACCTTTGCAGTTTCTGAAGAAGTAAGCACCGCCAAGCCCACTATGGATAGGGATGGGATCAACACCATTCTTGATAGCCTTAACAATTTCCTTAATAAGTTCATTTGTCCTAGGGAAGGAACTCAAGCTCCCTAATATCTCAATTGGACCACTCTGATCCCTTTGTTGTTGGTCCTTTCCAGTAGGTGAAAGACATGGAGTTGATGAGCTCCGATGCATGGCATTCCTAGTCAGAAGAAGAGGAGAATCATTTCGAATGGCGCTAAGGTCATTATTGAGAGTAAGATCTCCAAATGTCAAGGAGCTCTCATCAGTAGGTACATTAAGCGCAAGCTGCAGCCTTCTCTTCACTGTGCGAGCATTGTCATTCCTATTCAACTCCATTCCCAAAACACACCCATCGTCAGTCTGTACAAACACTCGCCTTGTCCCCGCAGATTTTGCTCTTAAGTCCCAATGGTACTCTACATTGCAAGGACTGTTAAAAACCGAAACAGCCATCTGCGTCTGAACAGGACTTCCAAAATTCTGAGACATCAGAAAACCTGTAGTTTTCAAAGTCAGCAAGAACTGTGATGGCACGGTAGAGATTCTTCTTCCTCCTTAAGCAGGTGCCAGAGCCCGACACCAATTGAAAGAGGGAGATATATGTGTGCCGATCAATCATCAAACTATCAATGGAACCACCAGCCAGTCACCAATTCACAATCATTCACATCCAAGTCATGAAGAAATAACCAATGGCTCCGTAAACAACCTGCATATTAGAAACAAAATCAGCAAACTTCAAGACATAATTACATAAATACAAATTCCAACTTTGGAACAAAATGAAACGACCTTCATGCAGAAAAATAAATTTCTGAATTCAATTAAAGAAATAAACGATCATCATAAAATATCGATATATATATATATATAAAGAAAAGAAAAGAGAAGGAAACAACACAGTTTTTACACATACTATAACAGTATCTTCAGTACTTGTATCAAGTACTAATTTGTATATAAATCTGTTTGGTCGTTGAGAAAATTAAGGGCCTAACAGAGAATCGGAATCCAAATTTAATACTTTACTCGGCTGATAAAAGCCATACAGCCTGTATTGAGTAGGTCCTCTCATTTTATTAGACACTGAACAGCAAAAAAGTAACTAGTTTAATTTAAAGATTTCAAACCCTTTCTTTCTTTCTTTCTTTCTTCCATCCTCTTTTCCTTTTACATATTTTCTTGTTAACCAAACGGCCAACAGTACATCTGAAGAACGCATAAAAGGACTCACTTTTGCTTGTTATCAAATTACGAAAAAGAAAAAGAGCTTTGAAGAGTAAAAAATAAGAATGCAAAAAACAGATAAAACAAAGTCATGCAAGAAGAAGAAAGCATTGAATCAAATCGTTTTAGAAGGAAAACTCACCGAACTTGAGAGAATCTTGAGGAAGATCAGAGAGAGAAGAGAGAATCAGGACCGTTGATGAGGAAGTGATGATCACAGGAAGAAGGAAGTTTGAAAGATCAACAGTAAGAGTCCAATGGCTACGAGTTGAAGAGAGTAAACTCTGAAACCAAACACTGAGCCTCAAGTCCTTCTCTCTCTCGCTTTCTTTCTTTCTCTCGTCTCTGTTGTGGATTCTGCTGAGAATGTTTCTTTTTAAAGTGTTTTTTGTACGGGTTTCACATGAGAATTGAGGAAGAGCATTTGACAGTTTTCTTAGGAATTTACTACAAAAGACCTGCCTTTGACAACTTTTGACTCTTGAGTATATAATTATTAGAATAATTAAAGAAATTTTTATTTGAATTTGTTTATCTATATACCAACATTTATGAGGGAGAAACAATGAAAAGGAATGCCTTATAATTTTCAAAATTAATTTAGAAGAAATAAAATTTTCTGTCTTTGATGGTCAATAAACTTGTACTTCAGTCCTGGTTGGTCAATTTAGTACACCACGTTTTATAGCTGAACACCCAAAATGAAAGCCGTCCGATCAAATCAGAAGATGCAATCATCAGCATATGTACGGACGACGAGTGGCAATGACGTGCAAGAAACTGATTGGTGGAGTAGGTGGCAATGTCACCGCTAAACAGTAAACAGAGCAACACCTGCTTCCTGTGAACCGGGCAGACCAGAAGTAAATACAAGTGTTTTACCCACAACCAAAAGCGACCAATCAATCAAACAAAATTGCAAGTTTACCAACTTACCTGACCTTGGGAGCATGAAAGTTACATCTCAAGGGTTATTGTGGGAATTTAACTTGAATGATTCTTCGGACATGGGTTAAATTGTCATTTTCTGAGCTTTTCATGGATGCAAATCCCTCACCCTCTCGAACAACTCAAAAGGATGAGCACACTTTTCCCCATTTTATGATAGAAAGATTTTAATTTTTAGTACATTATTTTATATTAATTTAAATTTATTTTATATGTTGGAAGGATTTTCAATCAAGAAACTATCAAAAGGGTTTTGGTGGTTTGGGAAGTGAAATTAGTTTAACTTCCAAATTAAAAATTAATATATAAAAAATAGTTCGTACTCAATATTATCTTTGTACTATTTTAATTTTTTAAATATATTCTTTAAAATTGTTAAATAAATACTTAATTATTGATAATCTTAATATTTTTAGCTCGTGCCTTACAATACTAGTGTTCTGAAAATCGGACTAGACTGGTTGATCCGACCGGTGATTGACGCTCTTTTTGGACCAAATTACCATTTTCAATTGTTCACAAAATCTCTAACTTGATCGCCAAAGAACAAAGGCTACCAAGTGTTGGGGTTGGAAAGGTTTTATAGAGTGGAAGCTGGTGGTTCAAGGAGTGGTGTCAAATTGAATTTCAGACGCCAAAATCAGTCAGAAATTGACTGAAAAAATCAACTCAATACGCGAGTCACGGCCAGCGAAAGAGGGACCTACAAGTGTCGAGGTTAAAGGGATTTTGTAGAGTGAAGGCCAATGGTTTAGGTGATGGTGTCAGATTAAATTTTGGACGCCGAAATCAACCAAAATTTGTCCGGAAAAATCAACCCAATCACAGTGGTATACGCGAGTCACAACCGACGAACGAGGACCTATCAAGTTTTGACGTTAGAGGGTTAGAGGGGTTTTGTAAAGTGGAGGACAGTGGTTTAGACAGTGGTGTCTGATTGAATTTTGACTGTTGGAATTAGCCAAAATTTGGTTGGAAAAATCAAAACCCAAACAAATCATAGGGGTATATTTACTAGATTTCAAACCTATAAGGACTAATGCGTATTTTTTAGTGGTGTTTTTACAAGATTTCAAAGTTACTAGATTACCGATAAGACACCTCCTCTTGGCTGGGTGACACCCTGGGTTGGGTTTTAGAACACTGTACAATACACGTTAACTGAACCTTTAAAAATAAAGTTTGTTAATTTTGTTTTCTTTTCTTGACGATAAAAGGAGAAAAAAGATTAAATATTCTCTCTAGCTCAGGAGAATGGTTAACAGGTTTAACTTCATTTTTTATCTTATCGACCATAAGATAACATATTTTGATGGTCTTAAGATATGAGAATAATATCTAAAAACTGTTTCATATAACAATTTAACAATTGACGCGTTGCAAGTTGGTAAAATATCAATACTGAGATGATATTCAGAAAACTGGCCCCATGATAAGACAGAAAAANTTACTGAACACCCAAAATGAAAGCCGTCCGATCAAATCAGAAGATGCAATCATCAGCATATGTACGGACGACAAGTGGCAATGACGTGCAAGAAACTGATTGGTGGAGTAGGTGGCAATGTCACCGCTAAACAATAAACAGAGCAACACCTGCTTCCTGTGAACCGGGCAGACCAGAAGTAAAAACAAGTGTTTTACCACAACCACAAGCGACCAATCAATCAAACAAAATTGCAAGTTTACCAACTCACCTGACCTTGGGAACATGAAAGTTACATCTCAAGGGTTATTGTGGGAATTTAACTTGAATGATTCTTCGGACATGGGTTAAATTGTCATTTTCCGAGCTTTTCATGGATGCAAATCCCTCACCCTCTCGAACAACTCAAAAGGATGAGCACACTTTTCCCCATTTTATGAAAGAACGATTTTAATTTTTAGTACATTATTTTATATTAATTTTATATGTTGGAAGGATTTTCAATCAAGAAACTATCAAAAGGGTTTTGATGGTTTGGAAAGTGAAATTAGTTTAACTTCCAAATTAAAAATTAATATATAAAAAATAGTTCGTACTCGATATTATCTTCGTACTATTTTAATTTTTAAAATATATTCTTTAAAATAGTTAATTAAATACTTAATTATTGATAATCTTAATATTTTTAGCTTGTGCCTCACAATACTAGTGTTCTGAAAATCGGACCAGACTGGTTGATCCGACCGGTGGCTGGCACCCTCTCTAGTCCAGATTACCATTTTCAATTGTTCACAAAATCTCTAACTTGATCGTTAGAGAACAAAGGCTACAAAGTGTTGGGGTTATAGAGGTTTTGTAGAGTAGAAGCCGGTGGTTCAAGAAGTGGTGTTGAATTGAATTTCGAACGCCAAAATCAATCAGAAATTGACCGAAAAAATCAATCCAATACACGAGTCACGGCTAACGAACGGGGGACCTACCAAGGGTCAGGGTTAAAGGGATTTTATAAAGTGAAGGTCAATGGTTCAGGCGGTGGTGTCGATTGAATTTTGGACACCAGAATCAACCAAAATTTGGCCGGATAAATCAACCCAATCACGAGCGAGTCACGACCGACGAACAAGGACCTACCAAGTTTTGACGTTAGAGAGGTTTTGTAAAGTGGAGAACGGTGGTTCAGGTAGTGGTGTCGGATTGAATTTTGACTGTTGGAATCAACCAAGATTTGGTTAGAAAAATCAAAACCCAAACAGATCATAGGGGTGTATTTACTAGATTTCAAACCTACAAGAACTTATGTACATTTTTTAGGGGTGTTTTTACAAGATTTCAAAGTTACTAGATCACCGATAAGACCGCTGGTTTAACCTGTCAGACCGATCAACCTAAGACCTGACCTCTTGGCTAGGTGACACCCTCGGTAGGGTTTCAGAACATTGTACAATACACGTTAATTGAACCTTTAAAAGTAAAGTTTGTTAATTTTGTTTTCTTTTCTTTTCTTGACGATAAAAGGAGAAAAAAGATTAAATATTCTCTCTAGCTCAAGAGAATGGTTAACAGGTTTAACTTCATTTTTTATCTTATCGACCATAAGATAACATATTTTGATGGTCTTAAGATATGAGAATAATAATATTTGTCAATAACTTACAATAGATGATATCTAAAAACTGTTTCATATACTAATTTAACAATTGACAAGTTGCCAAGTAGGTAAAATATCAATATTGAGATGTATTCAGTAAACTGGCCCCATGATGAGACAGAAAAAAAGAGAAATATCATCATCTTCTCCTTCACTTTTTTATTTCCATTCGTTCTTTAGTTATCTAATTCATCTTCAATATGTAAGCAAAGTGATTAGAGTCAAGAGAGAAAATGACTGGCATTTTAAGTTGAGAAGAATAAAGTCATGAAAGTGTATGGCATCAAAGGGACAGGTAGACCCCAAATTGTGAGTTAAATATGAGTAGATAAGGGTTAGGTTTATGATTTTAAATCTTTTCCATCATTTCAAAATATCATCTTCATATAGTTTATAGTTTCTTTTTCCACTAGTAAATTATAGTTTGATACTTCCAACTTAGCTCCAAAATTTTGTTTCAAATGATGTTTACCTCTTTTGCCAATCATATCTTGTTGAAATTGAGGGTACGGGATCTCTGATAAAATTTTACTTCATTAGAAGGATTGATAAAGCTAAAAACAGGCTAAGTTCGGCCAAAGTATGGAGTTTAATTCCCTATTTGAACTAGGACCTAGGGAATTGACAAAGCATGTTCTGGAAAACAGTATTTTCCAGTAAAGTTTTTGTATTTTACACCGAGAGAAATGGAAAAGAGTTAAAATTACAAGGAACAATATGACTGGGACTCACAGTATAAAAATAATAATAAAATATAGGAGTGTGCAAAAAAACCAGCTGGAATCAGAACTGACAGGTACCTAGGGTTCTAGTTTCGATTCCTCCTTAAAACCAGCCTTTATAGGGTAGGTTTCGATTTTAGAAATTAGGAACCGGCTGGTGGAACCGGAATCAGAACTAACATTCGGATACCCAAGTAAGAACCATGACTAAATTGTAATTTTTATAAACTGTTAGGATATATTTAATTTTTAGAGAGTTTATTTGTCATTTTTTAAAAGTAGGGGGTTATTTAAATTAATGGGTGTACCCAAAACCGGAACCTATGTTTCAGGTTCCGATTTCTTTGAATTTGGGCAGATGCCCGAACCCGTCCACCCTTAATAAAATAGTTATAATAAGATGATTCATGCATTTTCCCATTAGAACAAACGAATTGCATACTAGTTTTAACATGTCCACCTAAGATTGTGTACTATTTCAGCCCAATTAAAGTATGGTGGACCAATATAATGTCATGAATGCAACTTAAAAATTATCTCGTCATCAAATAACGAAAAAACAATTTAGAAATCAATACAATAATATGAAAGTATTGTTGTAACACTTGTCAACTAAGTTCCTG